CTTCTAATTAGTATTTTTTAATTATTGTTTTTTTTGTTGTTTTGTTTACTCTTATGAACAAATAATGTAAGCAGAGGATGATTGTTACTGATTATTATTTATTTATTAATAATCTTTTTTTTACTCTAATGAACAAATAATGTATTACAGGAGCAGTGCAGGCTGAGACAGGAAGTCTTTGGCAAACTGACGTCTCTGAATGACGCTGAGTACGACGAAATCTTCACCGAAACGGGCCTGGATGCGGATGATCGGCAAAAACGTATGGAAGGCTTGATTGATTCCATGGATAAATTCATTAGGGGCATGGTCAAGTTTGCGAAAATCATTCCCGGCTTCAACAAGTTGGATCTCAGCGAGAAGATCGGACTCATAAAATGTGAGTTTTATTATTTTTTTCAGTGTGCCTGTAAAAAAAGTTACTGGTTCAGTCTGTTCCTTATTTATAGGTTTGTTTGTTTTCTGAAATTGTTGAAGAAACAAGACTTTAATCTTTTGCAAACTACACTTGTGGGTGGCTGGTGGGTGCTCTGGTGTGGTTATCTCCTTTCCAATCAAACATTTATCGTCCTTATCTCACCTTTTTCTTTTCTGTGTTTTAATCTCTAATCACCTTTACGTATTTAACCTATTTGTGCAGCAAATGCCGTAAACCTCTTGCTAAAACTGAAACTATGACAAACTGATTTTCTCAGCAACTAGAATGGAATATTCCTTTGGTTCTGTCTATCGGTCTTGCTGTATTTTATTACCTAATAATCAATGTTATGTTTGTTTTAGTAGAGGTTTTAAGGCGCTCGCAACTGCATGAGGTCATATGAGGGCCAAAAACAATGTTAGTTCGTTTAGTAAGAGCTTTACGGCCCTGACAACTGCATAAGGTCATATGAGCACGCATTCATTGTTGGAACCTAACTTTATTTTTTTTAAACAACTAACCTACCTTCTAATCTATGGATCCACAGACTCCCAGATGGCGTTGGTGGCCTAGTGGTTAGGCTACCGGACTCGTAATCGTGAGATTGCGGGTTCGGGGGTTCGAGCCTCAGCTCGGTACGACGTTGTGTCCTTGGGAAAGGCACTTTACACCAATTTCCCATTTGGCTCGGTTCTTTCGGAGAAGGACGTTACACTCGGAGGCCCCGCCTCTTAAATAACCTAATAGTGTTGATAGGGGCATTAAACCTATACCATGTCACCTTTTTCACAGACTCCAGACAAGAGTTCTGTATCGCCTCTGCCTCGGCGTATTTCAACTACGACTTGCGAGTGTTCAAGGGGGCGGACGGGAAGTGGAAGTGTGAGATGGACATGCTGCGCGAGCTGTCGATGGCCCCATCCGTGCTGGAGGATTTCTTCGATTTCTTCCACTCCCTCCAGATCCTGGGACTCACCAAGAAGGAGACGGTACTGCTCAAGACCATCATTATTATGGCACCAGGTTTGTGGGTGTGTGCGTGTGTGTGTGTGTGTGTGTGTGTGTGTGTGTGTGTGTGTGTGTGTGTGTGTGTGTGTGTGTGTGTGTGTGTGTGTGTGTGTGTGTGTGTGTGTGTGTAGCGTCGGTGGCCTAGTGGTTAGGCTACCGGACTCGTAATCGTGAGGTTGCGGGGTCGGGGGTTCGAGCCGCGGGCCCGAACGTTGTGTCCTTGGGAAAGGCACTTTACACGAATTTTCCTCACTTCACCCAGATGGAAATGGGTACCCGGCCATAGACATCGAAAGATCTTGTCAGTATGTTAGTGGTTTTGCGCCTATAAATGGCTGCTTGCACTGTATGCTTCCCAGGAAGTTGAGTTTGTTTCAGAATGCTCTCAGGTCTGCTGGGTAAATAGTATATATTGTGAAGCGCATAGAGCTTGCTGTTGAGCGGGGATTTGCGCTATACAAACGCTATCTATTATTATTATTATTATTATGTGTATATGTGTGTGTGTTAGATTTTTTTTTATGTGGGGAGGGGGTGTAAATAATGGTAAAGTTTGCCATGCGTGTTTTTTTCGCCAGCACATTTTGATTTTGATTTTACCAAAAAGATTGATCTCGTAATACCTCTAAACAAAGTAATAAAAAGCTAGTTGCATATTGGCTTAACTCTAAGTCATGCCATTTTGCTACAGTGGCATAAGTTATAACTCAGTGTTGTGCCAAAATACAACTAGGTGATAAATAGTCTTAACAGTTTTTCCCCTTTATCTAAAAAATAGTAAAAATGAAATGTACCATTTTGCTGGTGCAGTGACGATATTTACAGATTACAATGACTTTGTCCAAGATGTCCTCCTGTCTAAGACAAACACTTTCCTCCTCAACAATAACAATGGGTGGCCAACCTGTACAATTTTGGGTGTATTTTCTGTCAATTACCCGTTCTCCTTCTCTCCATCCACAGATTGTATTTTCCATCATCTACCCTGTCTCGTTCTTTCCATCCACAGATTTAATCTTCCATCAATTACCCTGTCTCCTTCTCCTTTCGCAGATTGTATTTTCCTTCAATTACCCTGTCTCGTTCTCTCCATCCACAGATTGTATTTTCCTTCAATTACCCTGTCTCCTTCTCTCCATCCTCAGATCGAGACTCAGAGGTACAAATCTCCGCCCTGGGTCGGGAGGTCTACTGGCAGCTGGTCCAGACCCTGGTGTACCTGCTCGAGAAGGGGCGCGAAAAGCCTATGGCTCAGTTTGCTCGCATCATTGACTGGCTGATGACGGCCCGCTCTAGGGAAAAGTCGGTGCGCGAGTTTTTCAAATCCTTCAAGTTTGAGAAGTATTCGAAGCTAGGCGAGACCCCTCTGCTCCGGGAGATGCTGTCGGGGATCTACTTTGACTTGAGTGATGACGAGAGTTGACGTTTCCTCTTTTCATTTGACTTTTGTTAATATCCTTGGACTGGCAACGTGAAGTCCTGAAAAACTTAAAAGTCATGGATAGCCCGAACAATGGGACAGTGCATCAAAGCAACTGACTATCGTAGTGAATGTTGGACATTGCTCATCAATCTCAATGACAATGACAATGACAATGACAATGACAGTGACAATGACAATCTTTATTCATCTCGCAGGGAGAAATTTGTCTTGGTCGTTAACAATGGCAGTAGACGTTACAAAAGTTAGACTTAAAGGTGCACTCACGCAAACGCACAACAAGACAGGACATTATGCCAAGTAAATACATGTCTCATGGGCTGGGACAACCCGCTCCGTAACACATTCATTCTCTCTCTCTCTCTCTCTCTCTCTCTCTCTCTCTCTCTCTCTCTCTCTCTTTCTTTCTCTCTCTCTGTTTCATTTGTAGCACTGTGTGTTCAGTAACCTCACTGCAGTTGGTACGAATGAATTTCTATATCTGTCTGTTCTTGCTTTTTTGGAAATGTATCGTTTACTGCGGGTCGATAGTTGAAATTCCGATGTCAGTGGGTGGCTATGGTCACTAAGCATTATTTCCGCCTTTTTTAGAACGTTTGTCTTGTGCAGATATTCAAAGTTACTTAGGTCTCTACCAATTGTTCTTGATGCCTTTTTTATCAACTTATTTAGTTTTATAATGTGCTGCCTTCCCAGATTGCTACCATAGCAAGTGATTCCAAAATTTATCAAAGTTTCTTTTGTGGTGGTGTAGAAAATCGGAAGGATGGATGGATGGATTCAGATTGAAAGACTTTAGTTTCCTCAGAAAGTACAGCCTCTGATTTACTTTTTTAGCGATATTGTTTACGTAGCTTGCAAGGAAGAAATGTTACGTTCAACCGAGCAACATCGCTATAGACTATATCAGACTCCATCATAGTGAATGTTGGACATTGCTCATCAATCTCAGAGGCCTCCAAGGAAGAGATGGTACGTCCAACCAAGCAACATCGCTAGAGACTATATCAGACTTCAGTAGAATCAAACTATAGTGGTCATCTGTACTAACCACCATCGTTCTGTGACACCCTTGGGTGGGTTTTCCTGTATTTTTAACCTGTCTTTAGCTGTCCCCGTCCAATGCGATCCTGGTCAGTCATTTTCACGACAAGTTGGCCTAAACCTCACAACGATCACTTGGTACAAAAGTTATCCGCCAACCCGTCCTCAGACTGAGTTTGTGCTTTCAGCCAGTGCAAAGAAGCAGCTGGGCTTATTGCCTGGCTAAGCGCTACATATGAAACAAAGGGGAGCGGACTTACTGCAGTGCTTACCCTCCGTCTTCAGACTGAGTGTACCCCCTGGACAGTGCTACGGACGGAAGTGTCTTTATGCCCTTCCCAAAGGAGGGGACATCAACGTCTCGAGTTCTTATGCACAGTAGAATTGCAATTGTAAATGAGCTGATTCATCAATGTCATGCTCGTAACTGTGCCTGGAATGCAACAGGGAACTGCTGCTTTTTCTTACTATCGTCATTTCTCCTCTACTTCTTTTGTATGTTTGTCACACTTTTGTGACCCACTATTTCCGGGATGCCTTGATAGTCGAAGCAGACTTTTGTGCTGTTGAAGCAAGAGAGGGGAGCAGAGTAAGTCTGGCTCCCTGTAAGGACTTCTCTTTTGACATCCACCCCTTGGCACTCATATGACTGTATGCAGTTGCGAGCGCTGTAAAACCTGTACTAAAAAGAATAAAGGACTGTTATGGTGATTTTCTATCCTAATTTAATTAATGTATAAGTTACACGTGTTTATCTGGTACCTCGGATTTCTTAGCAGATCATGTATGTTTATCAATAGACAGCTGGATTATTTTCTTATACATGTATGTGTACAAAACGTGAAATCTTATTAAGTAATTAAGGGTTTACAGAAAGATTGTTGTTATAAACCCTTACTTAGAGCAGAAAAGTCTTCAGAAGGTTTCTTCGTTCATGCTTCTTGTATTATTGACTTACTAATTTTTTTAAGGATATATTATATTATTATGGTGAATAGTTATTTAGAGATTTTGTTGCTCATAGAACTGATCATGTTTTTTAACTCTGCTTAATTTTGTGCCATAATATATCATCAAATGCTCATTGTCAATACTTCTTATACTGTTTGTTTATGTTTTTAGATTTTTCAAATTCAAGCTTATCGATTTCTTAAAAAAGACATGAAAATGGTGTCTAACCACACAGCATGAGAATGCATTGCTCTCACATGTAGTGTTATCAATTTTAACTCTTTGATTCCGGATTGGTACTTAGGTAGCATTTTTGGTTCTGTGTTTTAGCAGATCGCCGCTTAAGTGACCTTTGGGGTGGAAGGGGGGAAGGGAGTGTTTCTGATTTTATTAACCCCAAGATGTGTAACTGGTTCTGTGCTCCTTTTACCACGTATATATCTTCACCCGCAATGTGTTGTTTTTTGGTTTGGTGATCAATTAGGAATAGTTTGAGTGCTCACATAAACAAATCTGTCAATATTTGACTAAATTATTGCTGTTTAAAGACAACACCCTTTGCCGCCCCCTAATTAATTGTCTTAGACTGTTGGATGGTTTGGATAGTGTAATCTTAAATAAAAGAAAACCATATCGGGGGTGCCCACTACGGCTGGGGGGGGGGGGGGGTGTTGATAAGTGGTTATTTGTACGCGTCAATGTTTTGGACAGGTGGCTGTTAGAGCAAGTTCGACTCTACATGTGTTAATGTGCTTCTCTCTCTTCAGATGGACGTGATAGGCTGTTCTGAGATGCTGCAAAAAAACCAAAGACATGGATCTTATCTCTTCACTTTTTAGAAAAATATTTTTGCCGAAATGGCATCAGTAGCCAAGATGTTAGTGTTAGGCTACTGGGCCTGTAATTCTGAGATTGTGGGTGCAGGGGTTTGAGCCTCAGCTCACTCCAACGTTATGTCCTTGGGAAAGGCACTTTACGCGAATTTCCTGTTTAGCTCAGTCTTTTCGGAGATGGACTTAAAACTCAGAGGTTCTGCCTCATAAATTCCAATAACCTAATAGTGTTGATAAAGGCGTTGATAGCCTAATAGTGTTGATAAAGGCGTTGATAACCTAATAGTGTTGATAAAGGCGTTGATAACCTAATAGTGTTGATAGAGGCGTTGATAACCTAATAGTGTTGATAGAGGCGTTGATAACCTAATAGTGTTGATAGAGGCGTTGATAACCTAATAGTGTTGATAGAGGCGTTGATAACCTAATAGTGTTGATAGAGGCGTTGATAGCCTAATAGTGTTGATAGAGGCGTTGATAGCCTAATAGTGTTGATAGAGGTGTTGATAACCTAATAGTGTTGATAGAGGTGTTGATAGCCTAATAGTGTTGATAGAGGTGTTGATAACCTAATAGTGTTGATAAAGGTGTTGATAACCTAATAGTGTTGATAAAGGTGTTGATAACCTAATAGTGTTGATAAAGGCGTTGATAACCTAATAGTGTTGATAAAGGCGTTGATAACCTAATAGTGTTGATAGAGGCGTTGATAACCTAATAGTGTTGATAGAGGCGTTGATGACCTAATAGTGTTGATAAAGGCGTTGATGACCTAATAGTGTTGATAAAGGCGTTGATGACCTAATAATGTTGATAAAGGCGTTGATAACCTAATAGTGTTGATAAAGGCGTTGATAACCTAATAGTGTTGATAGAGGCGTTGATAACCTAATAGTGTTGATAGAGGCGTTGATGACCTAATAGTGTTGATAAAGGCGTTGATGACCTAATAGTGTTGATAAAGGCGTTGATGACCTAATAATGTTGATAAAGGCGTTGATAACCTAATAGTGTTGATAAAGGCGTTGATAACCTAATAGTGTTCATAGAGGTGTTACACCTATGCCATTTTACATTTCACCAGGGTCGATTAGTATTTTCCTTTTTTTCTAAAAAGAGCACATAGGACTTTGGAAAATTGGTATCACGTTTCTGAACATCCCTAGGGCGTGTCTGTATTTTTAATGTCGTTGTTGAATTTGTAAAAACAATCTTGTTACTATAATATTGTCACAAGTCTTTTTGCTGATAGAAGGCTCACATGACAACATAGCACCGCAGTCAATAATAAGGTTGTACAAGTGACATAATTCTATTGTACCCCCCCCCCCCCCCAAAGAACCCAAAAATATAAGTACATGGAGATTTGGTTCTTTTTAGCAATCTTATGTCATTATTAAAAAGTGTACTTAGTTTCACTCTATTCCGGAACATAGTATAAATCATCAAACAAACTCACTCACACACACACACACACACACACACACACACACACACACACACACACACACACACACACACACACACTCACACTCACACACACACTCTCTCTCACACACACACACACACACACACACACACACACACACACACACACACACACACACACACATACACACCTGTTGGGATTGTCTAATGATTGTACTATAATGTTGGTACTTTGCGGACTGTGGTAAATGTGAGCTCAAATAGTTACTATAAATACATTTGAACTAGGAAAGAGTGTTCTGAATTGTGATTCTTTTTATTATTTAAGCCAATTTGGTTTCCCTTTCTTCTGTCTTGTCTTCGTCATTTGGGGAAGAATATTATTACAGAAAGAAAGTCTCCTTTCATGTCATTAATGAATCATGTTTGAAATTAATAAAATTATCATATATATATAAAAATACTATTTATGTACTGTATGCTATATTGTTGGATTAGTACCGGTACAGGCAGTCTTTATCTCTATCTTTATCCCCAAAACTGTTGATAAGTCACTTCTTGCAGGAAAATGATTCAACTTCTGTTGGGGTTATTCATGAAAAGATACTTTATACATTTCTTGCGACATCTGTTACAAAAAAAACACCCAAAAAACTGCTTCATGAATTTTATTTTATTGTACATATTTGTTACGACTAAAATTATTTGTGTGAGTATCGCTGTTGGAAAATGGATCACATGTTTGCTCAGATTATAATGATAACAATAATGATGTGCTCAGATGAAGTTGTTGGAAAGCGCCTGGAGCTGAATTGTTCAGGAATGGGCGCGATAGAAAGTTTATACATTTTTGTTGTTGTCATTGTTATTGTTATGAAATTATTATTATTATTGTTGTGTGCATTGCATATTTTAAAAAGTGAAATTTTATCTGATTCCTTTTGTCTTGGCTTGATATGTCTACTTGATAAAGGTTCTCATTGTATATGAAATAACATATGTTGCAAACTGGGACGAATCTTATTTTCCAATAATTATTTTGGGAATGTCCATACATGGACGACCCATTCATGGACGATAAAGGAGTATAGATGTTTATGTAGTTTCTACCTCAAAAACAAAAGAACCAGTAGTACCGTACATTTTGAGACAATATTTTTTTAAGCTGATACATGCCTGGCATAAATTGACCAAGTAAGAAAGCAACTCACTGTAGGAAGTCAGGTTACATTACCAGTGTCTGTGGTGTAACGGTTAGGAGCTTCGCTACCTCATGCAGGAAACACGAGTCCGATTCTCGAGAGGGGAAAACATTTGTATCGAGTATCTCACTGTGGCGGTGGGTAGTGAAGGGCTCACGGGCTTGAGCCCCTCCCCCCTCCTCACCCATCACCCCTAACTCTATCCCTAAGTAACTTGAAGTTTCTCCATTATGAAAATAACCAATTGAAACCGTTATGACCGCACGCTATGAACACAGAGTGATCAACTTGGCGGCTTGCTCGTTTATCCAATCACTGTTGTCACCGCATACAACTATAGTAACCTAACAGTCAATCAATTTAATGTCTTTAGGGCTCAGCTTTTTTTCCCACAGCCCGTCCTTAATTAAATTCTTCTTGTAAAAAAGGTGAAAGACTTGAAAAAAGAACACTCTACTGAGGGCTCACGCTCTCCTAGCCCTGACAATGGGGTGAAAGTTTACGAAACACTTTCCCCCACTGACACAGATACCTATCCGCTCATTGGTTCTTTTTTGGGTACGTTCAACGTTTTCCATCGACTTCACGGCCTACTCCAGCTCATAGAAGTAATATGTTTGAAGTGCTGTGTGTGCATGTTTGCGTTTGTGCACTGAGATGTAACAGTTATTGTGCACTGAGATGTAACAGTTATTGTGCACTGAGATGTAACAGTTATTGTGCACTGAGATGTAATAGTTATTGTGCACTGAGATGTAACAGTTATTGTGCACTGAGATGTAACAGTTATTGTGCACTGAGATGTGACAGTTATTGTGCACTGAGATGTGACAGTTATTGTGCACTGAGATGTAACAGTTATTGTGCACTGAGATGTAACAGTTATTGTGCACTGAGATGTAACAGTTATAAATCAGGTCGAACTACTTTTAAGGCAACTTTTTCTTAACATGAAAATTAATTACAGGACATTTGGAGGTGAATCGGCTTTGTCCCCTACCATCAACAAGAATTTTTAACTAAGAACAAAAAGATGTGAAACAAAGGTAACTCTTCTCGTTTGAATGGTTCTCAAAATGCCGTGGCTCACCGTGAGTAGAGAAAAATCGTCACTGTTTACTGTTTAGTTCTTATTGCTTGCTATTTGGTGGTAAAGAAATGGAAGCAACCTAAGCCCCACCCAAATGTTTGTCCCCC